AGACTTTATTGATGTAATTCAGATAGAGTATATCTGTAGTACTGGGTTTTAATTTCACTATTTTGGCTGATAAATAAAACTTGCTAAATTAAATCTATGTGAACATGTAAAATAACAATAAAACTCATTGTTTCTTTGAAAAAATACTGAAATTAAATGTCAGTGAAATAAAAGTTTTTACAGTACCCTATTTTTTTTATTAGTATTACATTCAGATGTTTTTCTGTGGTCAAAGCACAGTAATATTTTAATTATTCAGTTTACAACAATGCGATTTTTGGACTATTTTTGGATTTTTGCTTCTAATACGTTATTAAAGATGTTGAGTTACAGAAATTAAGGCTGAACTAAGTACGTAATTTTTTGTATATGCCTTTATTTTTATGAGTTAATGCAATTATGATACTGAAAATGAAAACAAAAATTATCCAAGAACAAGTAGAATAAAATGACAGAAATTCACATTTCTACACAGGTTTCTGTAGTGAAATTGTTCACATCTCTAAATTTGATATGAATTTTAATATTGTTAAAACATTTCAAAAAATTTAATTCAATTTAACTTGCATTTAATTTACTAAGTTACCCGTATGATAGTTTTCTATTAAATACAATGGAAGTTTATTCCCATAATGCATTGCATGTTTGCAGTAATAGTTCAAAATTTTAATTCGGCTCTAACTAGCTTGATTGAAATGAATTACGGATTCTTGATTTCTTTGGAAATTGAGCATTTAACACATTGACATGGTGCTGAAGATATACCAAACACATACAGGATGCAGCTATTGTCATGTAAGCGCTGTAATGTATGAAAAAAAAAATATGTGCAAGAATACTCAGACGACAAATTTAAACTCACCGTTGTGATGAATGTATAGAATGGGGCTCTTTTTTCATGATATTTCACAGTGATGGGACTGATGTCATAACGGAACCAAATGGCTGGCATGACACGATGACCATGACCATAAGATACATAGTCCTGAAAATAAATGTAACACAGTATTAAAAATAATTTATTTCATAATAAGTTCAAACAAATCTGAGAGAGGTCCACATGTAGTACCTATATGTATAATGTCAAAGTAATTGGACTTGCGGTTTTTAACAAGAAGTCGAAAATATCACTTTACCAAAAATGACAAAAATATCCACCAAAATCAGAGAATTCAAGATATCATCATGAAATGAACAAATCTGAGAGAGGTCTACCCAAGGTACATATACACCAAGTATCAAAGCATTCAGGCTTGTAGTTTTCAAGAAGAAGTCGAAAAAGTAAAACATTGACGGGAACAACGAACAATCACTCATATGATAAGCCCCGCTCAACAAAGTTGACAGCGGAGCTAAAAAAAACATAAATACAAATGATAAAGTTAAAGATCTTACTGCATGTTTGATAGATCATTCACAAGTGATGGAGATCACAACACAAAATCTAATTTTTAAAGCACAATTCTTGTCTTCTCACATGATTTTGACCATTTCATGAACTGATTTGTGCAAGTTGCATAATTTTACATTGATGCAATCTTAAAGCAGTAAGCGCAAGACAATGCAAAGCATTATGGGATACATACCTTATATGCATAAGTGTATTGATATGATAAATTCACTCTACCCCATACGTCTTCATACACAGTAGGAACTACTTTCATGTAATAATCATGGGATGATTCAGCTATAACATTAGGAAAGAATATTGAATATATTGCATTTCAATGAACCAATTATGCATCCCATGATGCAACAGCATGAAGAGGGCATCATCAACAATGAAGCAATAGCTTGAATTTTAATTCAATTATATTTCCAGGAAGCTATCATCTAACACCAGTGTTGAACGGTGGGTGGTACAATAATTAGTGTTTACACCCCACATCAGGAAGTTTTAATTTTAAATCCCAAAGCCAGTTTGCCTGTACACTCAAGCAGTATGAATAAAAGAATAGTCATCAAAACATGTGGATTGGATTGCATGTTTCATTTTAACTATATTTTGTAATTTGTATTATAAGTTGACCCCTATTACAAAATTAAATAATATTTGCTCTAATAAACGCATCTATAATAGAAGGACACATAAGCCAAAGTTTATTGTATACTGGTTCATTAAAATATAACAAGAGATTGCAACTTGCCTGCTGCATCAGATCTATCATAGCCAGCAAGAGGGTTAAAAGCAGCATTTATACTTTTATTCTGTAAAAAAAGTAAAAAACCAAGAAGATTAGTCTTTGTTCAGGGCTATACAAGTGATAAAATGTGGCATAACGAAAAAGCCATCAGAGACAGATCCCTAGCCATCTTTATCACAAGCAGTTCTGGATGAACCTCAATATCTTCAATAGTGTTCCAGATATGATAGTTATGCATTTTTAATGAGGTCACATGGTCATAACTATGTTAATCAATTTATTGTGCAAAGTCTTCAATGAAGCACTCACTGATTGAATATCGATATCTGCAAAAGTGTTACAGAAATGATAGTTACGGTATACATTTTTAATGAGGTCATGTTGCCATATAGATACGTTAATAAAAGTGTTTTGTGGTACAAGTCTAAAACAATTACTCAAAAGTGTGTCTTTACTCTTATAAACTGACAATTTTGGTCTGAGTCTTGTAAAATGCACCCTGACTAGTGCCCACATGCAATTTTAATACTCGATTGTTACCAAAACCATAGGTTTATATGTAAACATACACTTTATTGTAGTGTTCCTAATAAATACCTATAATCAGAGTGTAGAGATAAATAATGGTCATGAACAGAACACTGCAGACCCATTTAAATGAAAAGCACAACGCTGGAGTGAACCAAGCAAGTACATATCAAAGTACCAGGTACAAATTCGATTGCCAAAATGAACAACTTGAATAAAATGATAGTATTATGCTGCTAGGTTATTTGTAGTGTATGAAGGAACCAAGGAATTTATCTTTATGCATACTTACTTGTATATCATCACCTATAATAATTTCATGAATAGTATGTACAAAATCTGCTTTTTGGGGTTGTCTACTTCCAGCAGCATGTGTAGATACATGGAAATTACCAGGTACCTAGTGAAAAACACAAAGTTAAACAGTTAGAAAAGTAGCTCATTTAACATTCAGACTGGCTATAGAAAAAGTTCTCAGATTGCTGCAAATTTTTACTCCAAAAACAATAGTTAGTAAATACTTGAAACATAATGGAAAACTATATACATGCGTGGGTGTCTAAAAGGATGGTTTATTTTATAAATTATTAAAGAACGTTTTTTTAGAGATGACCTAAAATTGATTTCAACAACACAATCTGATTTAAATGGATTCTCCAGGTAAATCTCAATAAAACCAAAGTCAGAATTTCCAAAAGAGTAAAACACAAATTGTGTCAATTCATACATTTATCTATCTACTAAAATAATTATTATAATTTACATATTTTTACAGTCAATACTAATATTATTCAGCCAGTGTGCAACTATGAATGCTGAAGTACATGTGTGATGATATGAGATTATTACGAGGATACCTCAAAGTATGCATGAAGACATTACTGAGGTCGATGCGATGGCATACTGGCTGAGTGCATACTTTAAGGTATTCTCAAAATAACCTTATTATTATACTTCTTTTCCTTCCAAGGATACATCATGAGAATGCCGAAATCCAAAAAGTTTAGAACAGAATCAGCGAACTTCTTTGTTTGGAGTACGGTCAAACCCTGGTGGCAGCCATGTTTTTTTTTTTTAATAATAGACGCTTATGTGCATAATCATTACATATTAGGGATTCGCATTTCCTTATATGGTAGGATGAAAATACCCCATAAATACCGTAAAATTACGGCATGGTGTAACTTGGGGTTACGATGACAGATTTATAATAATACTTATACCAGCTTACCTTATTTATTTTAAAATAGGCTTCAAATCTACATCCAGCATTGTTGTTAAGTGGTATTTTATTTGTATTATCCACAAGCCCAACTTCATGTCTACCCATATCATCTTGAATGTCTAGACCAATAACTGCAAATGGTGTAAAATATAGTAAGTATTAATCTTATATGCCAATATCTTGTATAAAAATTACAGCAAGAAGAACTTGAGATTCCAAATATGCAAATCAAACTTATATTGAAATAATATTAAACAAGCCTTGCATGGCACAGTCCCAGTTAGTTATCGAATTTAAGATATACAGTTTTGTTTATAGTAATATAGTTGGAATATAAACACGTCAGGAATATGATTTTTTAACATTAAAATGATTGACATCTTGTATCTGATTTTATTTTTATGAAACCCTGTAATATTTTTTTGAGTACAGTTTGGGACAGAGCATACATTGTGACAATACATTTTGGGATTTAATAAATCAGGCATTTACTGATAATTGGTTTCTACACTGAATATACCCGGTAGTTGGTACCTGTACCCTTTGTGAGTACCAGTATGCTACAACAGACTCAAAGCAGAGATCATATTCACGTGCTCAGATTCATTCACTAATGCATACAAAGTTAAAAGAAATTTTTGCTAAGATCAATAAGTGATCAAGACTGTTTGGTCGACCTTCTGATAGCTGTTTAAGGTAGAAGCCACAGTCAACTGGGTAGAAGAGATAATAAAATAAATGGAATATTTTACTATATGGGCGCCACCATCTTGAATACGGCATGAAACTAAATAAAGAGACAAGTTGTGAAACACATTTTTTAGATTCGTACTAAACGGGGAAAAAAATACAAATCCATTGAGATAATATTGAGACAGTCACTAACAAAATTTGGCTGAATTTAATAAACAAGAGAATGCTATTTCATAGTGCCATGGGATAATAGCTCCATGATTTTACCTAATAAACCAATGAACATTGTCATGTGATTATGATCAACTATTTCAAAAATTATGAGTAGGTTTCTACATGTACCTTAATTAAAGGCTCAAACACACTGATATTGAGGCATGTGACTTTCAATTTGACCTTCATGTTGTGAATAATCATTAATACTTACATTCACATTTAAGTCTTGGTAAACTTATATTAAGTTTAACATTTAATTTTTCAATATGTCCTGGATTGTCCACGTATAATTCACTCCTCCTGTTCAAAAAATAGTTCAAATTATTTAAACCATATCCATGGTGAAATGTGCTTCATTTGCTTCAAATAAACAAGGTACAAAATAGATGCCAAAGATAGTTAGAAATCTGGTTGCACAATCTTTCAAAGATAAATTCAATTATTCAACATTGTACACGACCTTATGATTTCATCCATTTCATCTACATGAACTTAGTCTTATTATTTCCTAATAAATTCCAATATGACAGATTTAATCATCATTTCTTAAAAAATAATGCAGGTACATGAATTTTCTCTGTAAATAAATATGGTATTTCTTTAAACCTTTTCACATCCAGTTCCCGCTTTTCATCACAAAATAGTCTTATTTATGGTCTGCACTTTCCTTTAGAAGATTGGGACAAAAATAGCAAAATTTAAAAAAAAAAAATGAAAAGCAGTTGGCTCCAAAAGTAAGGTTCATTTCCAGAATTATTGAAGAATATACATGTAAATAGTGCAGAAAAATTTTGGTGAGAAAGTCTGGTGGTGAAAAGGTAAACATATTGTTTGCTGAAAGCCTCACACACCAAAATCAATGGGAAAAGAAGTATTAGTAGGCAAGGTGTTGAAATAGACAAGTAACACCAAATAAACTGCAAGGTAAATACTACATCAAATCAAAGTAAACACATATAATGCAATGTATTGAAATGTTTTACAATCTCCCTCTTATTTTTTATGAAAGGTAAATTTGTCCTACATTGCAAATAAACTTCTCCTACATATATATATAAGTGTAATAAATGTCTTTTAATTACTGTTAATACTTGGTGTGAAAAGTACATCTTGCCAACATGCCCAGAATTTGTTGTTAGGATTGCACTATCATGTACATGTATAAAAATCTTGCCGAATCGAGCATTGGAATATTGCATTCTAGCTAGAAATCATAACCTTGATAGCATCCATAGCTTCACCCACCCTCACCCCTATTCACTGGTTAGGAAGCTACAGAGTTAAAAACAAACAAAAAAACTTACACATCAGGTGCTATAAAGGAGGTAAATTCTGATAAGAGTAGAAATACTATGAAGAGAGCACTACATATGGATACTGGAATAGAAGAAATATAATCATTAATTGCAAAATAATACATTCTTTGCATTTATGACCAGGTTTCTACATAATGGTAAAACCAAAATTTCTTGATTTTGAGATATCAATGATGGAATCGAAATTCATACATTGAAATCATTAGTTGTGGAAAACATTTTGATGAATATTATTACAAAATCTATAATCTCCTCTTAGTTATTTCAAAACTATTCTTTACATAATTAGGGAAACTCAATTATATATATTTCATTTGTTCCCCTCCCAATTCATTTATGTCGCCTGGCTGACCAAATTTATTAAGGAGATTTCCATATGAAATCAGCTGTCTCAAATGACTGTATTTTCGCTACAGGCTAAAAAAATACTGAGTGGTAGGGTTTTTCATTTTTTATAATTATTTTTTTTTCATTAAAGCTGTAGTCTTAGCAAATAATACATAATTTTTGTATCACACAGGACATGAACTACGATATTTAGGTTACTTTTCAGGATTGATTTCTTTCATTCACTACAGAGTACAAAGTACAAAGAAATAACAGGACAAAATGACTAATTTGCATACTTTTCAACTTCCACCAAAATACAAGTAGGTTAGGCTACCAGGAAAACCAATTTCTTTTTATTTGGCCAAAAAGTTGTGTGTACAAAGTAAAAGAGTACATCCTACCCATGGCACCAGCCAAAGTAGGCTGTGTGAGGTCCTTTGGTATCTTCCGATATACATCAAACCTAGTGGTAAAAATAACAGTGACACTAAGTAAAAAAACAAGACACAGGTAACAGTGATTGTATCATCAGACTCGTGATCGGATGATCCAAGTTCAAATACTACCCCTACCCTGAATGAGTGTTCTACAAATTCAACAGGAAGGTTTAATCAACTGGTCAAGACTAACAAATGCGACTTTGGGGGAATCTTTGTTATCCACAGAAGCAAGCATTAGACCAGTCCTGGTTATTGCAAGAATAGTGCATAAAACTGACATAACGCCATTATGATAAGAAGATGGCCAAGTCAAAATGCACTAAAACGTCAACACTTGCACTTGCAAATAGTTTATTTAAAAAAAAAAATGTCAGGAAAGACAACAATGATATTCAATGTTGGAAACTGTGGCCTGACATAAGTATTTAAAAAAAAAAAAAATAAAAAATATCAAGACATGTAAAAAAGCCATCAGACAGCAGTCATTCAAATTTGTGTAAAGAATAATACATTTTACTATATTTTACACACCACACATGTTGCAAATCACACCTCCCCATACAGTACTCTCAAAAAAAGGTACAACAATTTGTTATACAACTTTGAATAACTTCATTAGGAATGTCAGTATAACATGCAATTGTTTTTCCTAGAAATAGCTCTGAGAATTAAATGTTACAGTTGAAACTATGCAGACGAAGACAATTCATAAATACATAATAAATGATGCAGGTTCCAAATTAATAGTAGCTCAAGGCACACACAGACTACCAGCTTCAGTACAAGAGTTACCATTTTCAAAATTAAGTAGCCAAGCTGGACAAAAAAAAAAGGGTGACAAATAATTGATAAACCAGTTTTGCTGAAAACCAGTCCTACACAAGTTGAATACTGTAAAACATGTCTTTTTCGCAAGCATGTCGTTTTAGCGAATTTAGTGAGAGAACTGATACGCTAATTCAAGATGATGCTAATGATTTTATTATAAATTCAAAATGGCCAAGGCATTGTGTATACACCAATCCTAAACATAAAAAAATCTTTTATTTTTCTTTGTTTTTATAGAGGTGATAACTGCGCATTTGTGAAAACAGGAAATCAACAATGACAAGAGAGATTCGCTAAATCATAATTTTGCTATTACGTCATTTTACCACAATTCGCTAAAACTGCATGTACAGTATGCTAAGCAAATATGGCACAAGAAATGTTATGATTTAGGGGTATTGCTGACAAAGTAAAACAGGAAATCAACAATGACAAGAGAGATTCACTAAATCATAATTTCGCTATTACGTCATTTTACCACAATTCGCTAAAACTGCATGTACAGTATGCTAAGCAAATATGGCACAAGAAATGTTATGATTTCGGGATATTGCTGACAAAGTAAAACAGGAAATCAACAATGACAAGAGAGATTCGCTAAATCATAATTTCGCTATTACGTCATTTTACCACAATTCGCTAAAACTGCATGTAGAGTATGCTAAGCAAATATGGCACAAGAAATGTTATGATTTAGGGGTATGGCTGACAAAGTATTAAGACAGAAAAAATGTTTTATTGTATTTTTAAAAATAAAATTTCTACCAGTGTGTAGCAATAAAGTGTATGATTACCAGCTTTTAAAATATCAGGGGTTTAGGATTTTTTTTTTTTTTTTGATCCCATGATACATCATCACAAAATATTTTATACAAAAATATTAAATATGAATGAATGAGACCAAGGACACATCTCAGCACATCCACTGTATTTTGAAGTATTGCATGAAAGGTTGTTACCATATGCTAAAATACACTGATTGAATTAATGTCATTTAAATGTACATACGGTAGAGTGAGATAGATTTGGATAACAAAGAATTATAAAAATGTATTGATAATGCAAAATTCTGGGTACTTCTTTAATACAACTGAATATTATACGTGACGAAAATAACATTTTTCTAATGACAACAAGGTTGTGCTTGCAAAGTAACCTTGCTAAGTAACCCTTTACCAGTAGTTACAATTAACAAAATACCATAAATTTTTAAATACCCTGGTAATTAATAATTTCTCTTTACCTTACAGGTATTAGCAATTTAAATTGGTAGCCCAGTCAGGCATCCAAGAACAATCAACTCTGACATTACCTTTACTTGTCTATCACTGGCAAAAAGAAGAACTAATTATCACTCAAAATCCATATCATTTATAAAGATTTTAATAGCATACTTAATTACTCTCATTATTGTCTTCAGTGATATTTAGCTCCCTAGCCCTAAAAGTCATGCGACTACTGAAGTAATTTAATTTTCTGATACAACAAATGATGTCACTGACACTTTCACCACAATTCCTCAGCTGAGTTAAACTGGGAAAATGATAACTATTTATTTAAGCAGTCTGTCAGTTCTGTTGTATACACAGTTGAAAATAGCATTTTTTTTACCAAAAATGACAACAATATTCACTAAAATTAGAGATTTGATAATATCACGAATTGAACAAATCTGAGAGAAGCCTACCAAGTATCAAAGCAAATCATATTTGCAAAAATGTAAAGGTACGCCAACGGTTGATGGATGCCAGATGATAAACAATCAGTAATATGAAAAGCTCTGCTCCTTTGACTATTAAAGTTGACAGTGGAGCTAAAAATCTGGAAAACGGGTACTAAATAATTACAGTATCGAAAATTTGAGTTATATAAGATATACAAGATACATGTGTATCATGATATAGACTCGATCTCAAATCAAATGAACTGGTTTAAAGGCCCAGGTAAACTATAAATACGCTCCTAAACAATAGGGATTATTTCCTTGCTTGTCACGCTGCAGTAAACAGCTCCAGCCATGTATGTGACTATGAATATCACAGCAGTGATAATATTTATGACAATAAATAGTGTACGAGCTGAGATTTTGTCGGATAAAAGTCAAAAACACAAACCGGGGAAAGGGAAGCGCTACTAATCTTGAATAATTAACTACTGTCAATCAAAGTTACCTGATGTTGGACTGCTGAAACAGGATGTGTCATAGGCTATGCAAGTGATAAACAACACTCATTAGCATAGCCACACCTCCAATTCACACTTGCCCTGGGCAAGTGAATTTGGCATTTAAACGTTCTTGAGCTTCCTTGGTGGGTATGCAAAATGTTCATATTCTAATAGGTAGGTGTGAATCTGTTGCACACCCTACCATCTTGCATTTCATGGTGTTTAATTACCACTTATGTGTCCAAAATGCAAAAGTGCCATCCTGCTTTTCCCTACAGTACAGTGATCAATAATTTGCATTGTAACAAAGGAAGTATTCTATTATGAAACAGGGTATGGCAATAAACCTTGAGCTGAGTGAGAGACCACAGCATTCAACGTTGTCCACTCAGTTGACACACCAGGTTTTAGACATAAAAAGCCCAAAACAGATATCACCACGATTCGCACATTGTCTCGCATATAATCAACTCCTTATTTAATATGGCACTGTGGGTAATTCATTATTGTTTAATAATTGTAAACAATTTCTTGCAACACTGATATATGGTAAAATTTTCACTACAGTCTTAAAATTTGTCTTCATGCTGCAAGATTCAATTTTAATCCATAATTTTTACTGACGTAATTTTTGTGCAACATTTTTATGTTTTTTTGAATATTTTCTTTTGATAAATTTGAACCATATGGACATAATTCACACATTGGATCAAAATTTTGGACAAATTTAAAAAAAATTATTCGGTTTAAAATTTGTGATGGTGACTTGGTGCTCAAAGATTGACAGGTTCCCTTCTGAAATCTCAAAAATTTAATTTTCTGAACCAAATTACACATGAACACAATATGCAGAGCATGAAACCATGTAAATAGTGTGAATACATGCATGTCATATTGCTAAATTTGTATAGGACACCAATAGGCTAGCATTGAAGAGAAATTGGTTAACGTAAAAATAAGTATTAATATAGTGGATTTTTAGTAGTTCAGTTGAGTTAAAAATTTTGAAAAGTGATAGCCCCCGGAAAAGATTTGGCAGTCCGAGTGTTTTGGGCTACTGCTTCATACCAACGTTCTCACCAACTAGGGCTCAACATTAAAAAAAAAATTGTTTAAAAGGCTGCTGGGCTACCAGTTTTAAGAACTGTTAAACCATCAGTAATATTGAATAGTTTGTCGGGTTAAAGGCCCAGGTATACTATAAATACGGTCCTAAACAATAGGGATTATTTCCTTGCTTGTCACGCTGTAGTAAACAGCTCCAGCCAAGCCCCGGTAATAGCGCGTTTTCTCGAACTTACAGGTCGATTATGTCATGCCAAAGTGGATGCATGTGACTATGAATATCACAGCAGTGACTGTGTGTAGTATTTATGACAATAAATAGTGTACGAGCTGAGATTTTGGCGGATAAAAGTCAAAAACTCGAACCGGGGAAAGGGACACGCTACTAATCTTGAATAATTAACTACTGTCAATCAAAGTCACGTGATGTTGGACCGCTGAAACAGGGTGCGTCATAGGCTATGCAAGTGATTAACAACACTCATTAGCATAGCCACACCTCCAATTCACACTTGCCCTGGGCAAGTGAATTGGGCCTTTAAATAGGTACTTACAGATATGCAGGACAGTGTCAGGGAAATAAATAAATGTCATGTGGCTTAATTTATGTTGGGACACCTATGATTTGAAGACAAATTGGTCTTGTTTAAAAAAAACAAAGTACTAATATTTTGTAAATTTATAGTAGTCCTGTTAGACTACTAATTTTAGCCATTTTACCAATAGGCTCCCGCTCAAATTCTTTAACATTTCTGAAAATTTTGGAGCCAACAGACAAAATTTGAGTCAATTTCCAGTCAGTTTTTATCCAAAAACATTTGCCTACTAGTATTTTGTACCAATCTTCTGAAGGAAAGTGCAAACTATAAAATGGACTACCGGTATTTTCTGATGAAAAGAGAGTACTAGTTGTGAAAAGGTTAGAAAATAAATTAGCTCAATTACAAGACTTGGTAGTCGGTTCATTTTAAATCATGCTTGCAACATATGCCAATAAAACATATGGAAAACAAATTCTCCGTCAGTGTTAAATTTAATTTTAATCTAAATTTAATTTGCCGAATCACAATTGCTAAATATTGTACAAAATTTTTAAATGTATAAATTTGTTAAAACCCATAAATTTATCACATCATTTTCATCTGAATTATTACAAACAGCCTGAATGGCTTGTAATGACATGTGCGCTGTGTAACAGCCATTTAAAACAGATTCACTTTGTTTATACCAGCCCACTATTAATTACATGAAACCTCAAATAATGGAGTAGTATTAATTGTTTTTGTTTTCTAGAGTTCAATTAGTTTAAAAACATAATCGTAAATGTTAAAGCAAATATAGAACATATTGCAGCTAAGGGAGGAGAAAAAACGTCTAAATTACCTTTCCATGTTTCAGCATATGGGTCTGTTATGAATTATACTAGTGTGTACAGAAACTCATTATATACATATGCAAATTATAGTGTGTAAATATTTTAAATTTATGCTATAGGGCTACATGTACAAGAATAATGTCAGTATAGGAATCATTCCAGCTGCTGTAATGGCATTACCGACTGCCATTATCCAATAAAACTGTCAGGGGACAAAGAAATCGTTTTTACAACTATTTGCTGAATAGAAGGGTTATCCATATTGGTGAAGAGTACAATTTCTCAATTAAAAAAAAAAATGATTAAATTGATAAAGACCAAATTATACACTTTTTTTATTTAATATTACTTAATTTTGAAATGTTATGTTAAACAGGTTAACTTACTGTTATGTCGTGTGATGCAATTTTTAGCAAATTTCACAAGTGGGTGAAAATGAAAAAAAATGCAGTGTACCGGTAAATTTTTCAGGGGAATTCTACAACATTTGAGTGACAAAGTTTTTGTCCTTACGAATGCCATAAAATCCAGAATATGCAAAAATTCAACTAGATTATGAAAAGGGATTTTGTTCATTGGGAGACGAGACATTTTCCTAAAATGTTAAATGACAGGCTACAATACTGTGAAAGGAGATGTCCTGAAAGGGGGAGAATAATTCTTGTTATATGAAGGTCAACATTCTGTAGGTCAATGACATATCTGGGTACCAGCCTTTTACAATTATTTCTTGGTTGAAGATTAAAAAAATCAAAGTCTACATTAGCAAATTTACATTATTTCATTCTTAGTTTGTCGTGATGACAATTTGACTTTAGAAATTCTGAAAATGTTTTATAAAAAACTTTTTTTACTAATGACAATTGGATACAATCCTGTACTACATACAGAGAGAGAGAGAGGCAACATTGCTATTGTTGGGTTCACCCAGCTAAATGTCCTAGCATGATGGATAATGTTAATGATAGCAAAAATTAGAATATGAATATGACATCATTTGTATTACAATTAACATATAGTCGGGGGTTTCACAAATTCATTCAATAGCAGGCCATCATTCTGTAACAACAGGCCAAACAAAAATAAAAAGGCTCTCGGCTGGTGGTGGTGGTTGGTGGTGGTTGAGTGGGGGGTTACAAGCCAGAAAGTAGACTGCCGATTTGGGCTTGTAACAGGTCATTTGGCCAGTGGCTGGCTCTTAACAAAACCCCTTATATAGTTATAACTTCCATTGTTTCATTTGTTTTTTTCAAGCATGCTCAAATGGGGAAGAATCAAAGGTAAAACCTGCCAGTCAGGCAGATTTAGCCTCAGTCAGGCATTGTATTTGGGACAAAAGGTATTCAACATAATTGAATTAGAAATAGGGTTGGTACAAAAATGAACCTAAAAAGCTAAGAATAATAAAGGTGACTACATATCAAATATCAAAGCAATTATATGGCAGTTTTCAAGAACTGCAGATGAGTATACATCAATAAATGAAAATTACCATTTTGTCAACTCTAAAACAAGTTTAGAAATATTGTTACAGTTGATTTTTATACCGTAGAATACTTTATTTTCACTTAGAATTTTGTTATTGCCGAAGGTATAAAATCTCTTCATCATCTTTTATATTATATACATATTCTGTGCTGCATACAGATATACTTACATATCACGGTATTTTAATATTTCTTATATTATTAATAATACTAATAGTCTGTAGTATTTTTGTCGTTCATCAATTTTGAGTTCTTTTTTAAATCAATTTTTACATTTCATGAAATTTTATTATTTACTTAATCTGAAAACCTAAATCTAAATGTTAACTCTTTCTTTACGGTATTAATAGAACATTATTCTATTCAATTGTAATTTTGTGATTTCACTGACAAGATAACAAATGTGATATCCTGTCACTTCACATTCCACATCTTTTTTGTGTGAGATAGTTGACCAGTTTCGGGCCATACTTCAAGAAAAGCAATAAATTAGTCCCTTTGATTGCAGAAAAGAACTTTGTCTTAATTATTATGACCATTTCGTCAGATCGACCAGTTTTAGTTTAACAGAGTGATAACTGGTATGGATGTACTGTTGAGGTCCTGTTACTTTGTCAAATCAACATACGGGGTGTACATCTGGGATGCACGAGGGCTCTTCATATTATAATAATTATAAGCCATTTGTGACGTGCAACAAATACAAACAACGTATAAACATGTACAGCAGACGGAAAGATCGATTACCAGTACATGTACACATGTTTATTGTTATTAGGCTTATGAATGGTATCGAATATTTGGACTAAATTGGAATATATTACAAACTCTTTTTCTTGTGCATCTCGAGAGCGCACAACCACAGTCCCTCTATCTGATAGAGGAACTGTGCAAACCTTCAGATCACTGGTGCAGTTAATGTAGGGACTCCAGTCACCCCAGACTAGAACTTTGAAAGTGTTTAATAGCACTATAAAATAATTCATTGACACACGGAAGCATCGTGTGTTTCTATCCGAATTAATATTATACACCGAAAAATGTTATACATTCAAGGTACAGCGTGAACTGTGATTATTGTAATGTAATTAAAAAAAAAAGGTGTTCGAGTGAGTTATACTTCTAGCGAGTCTCGGGGTTGACACGCTAAAGCGAACAGCTGGTTGCCGCTTTCGTGGTCGACACAGATTTTAATACAACCCACACGGAAGTCATGAAAGAGAGTGACATGCAAATAGTAATATGAAATCTGGCTGGTGTGACTTACCGACGTACGTCGAACGGCATGGTGAGGTGCTTCTCTCAAACAATATAGTAATACACGCCTAAACGAGTAATACTTCCTGGGTCAAAAAAGTGAGATTTTTTGTACCAATTTGCCGGCTACGTATATTACGCATGCTCACCACATGGTGGCTTTTGATTGGTTGGCAGTTTGTACGAGCACTTCCGGATCATCAGAATGATTGTATGGATATGTTAGTGTTATGATTTTATAATAGCGCATTGAAGGTCATATACACTGTAATAACAATAATCGACACACATTGCTTGACGATCTAAATATGGTTGATACCATCTAAAAGGAAAAGAAGTGCTACAATAGGGCTGACCCATTTTCAATTCGGAGGACTTGGTGAAATTGGTCAATTGCATTCACACTACTGTGACGGAATTTTTTTTGGAGTGACTAGTAGAAATTGTAGCTCGACCCATAAATCATAGTAGTGGCAATTTGGAGCGTTTAAAAAACCATTTGAAACATTATATTTCGACACTACTTGGATATCTAAGCTCTGTAAAATTATTTATTATTGTTCTAGCTCGAACTTACCAAGCATACAACATGTGGGCAAAATTTCAACACAACCTACACATACGAAATGCTTGTATCAAAAAATAACTATAACGATTTTCGAATAATATTACGCCTCCCATTATAATTATAATATACTAATTATGAAATATAATATGTAATATTGTTATTTTTTCCCGGCATGTTATCACTTTAAATAAATTTGTCATAATATTTTATATATATAGTGAACATTTTTTGGGATCTGGAGGATTTTGTAAACAAAACGCAAACACCGAGAACAAAATAATATGAGCCACTTTAGAATGTATTTAAATAACTAGAAAAGTGGCACAAATGCGATAATTCAGCAAAGAAAGTCCATTCTCACAAAAAACAATATGAACAGTCGTAACAAAATATGCTCAAATTTTATTTAAAAGTATGAGCAGGGGTGTTTTGTTTAGTGTGTATTTCAGGGAACGAAGAAAGTGAGTTCTACTCGAAAAGTACATTTCGTCTTTAACCCATTCAGTGTCTAGAACCGTGGTCTGAAACTGATAGTAGTTTTCTATTTTATTTAATCAGTAAATAGTATTTTTGACAATTTCCTGAAAGCATGGACTTTTTGTACATGTACACGTCACGCCATTGTCATGCCAACATATGTAAAACAAACGATTATTCCAATATTTTCAAGACCTTTCTTAATTTCCGCACTTTTGTTTTTGTTTTTACAAAACGCAGGAAGACCTTCAGTAAGTACTAGTATAATAACCCCTCTGTTCACAATTGTGTTTCAGGGGATCTCTGTAGCATCTCTGCCCCAATGCCCGAATAGATATTATCAACAGGTCTGTGTCCGTATACTATGATGAATTTGTTTTTGCGTATCTGTTGACCGACTTAATTAGTTGATTATTTAGCTGAATTGCTGTGTTATGTCTGTCATCGTTTAGGCCTATTTGAAGTTTTGGACGGAACTTGGCTCAGTGATTTGGAACTAATTACGAGATAACCGTCGCTATTCGGACTACTATTTCTGACAGTTGGTATCCGTAGTTATTAATGTAGTGAACGATTAATCAAAAGATATGACGTATTCAGTACTTAGTGTGATTGGCTTTATGATTGAAGGTTACGCCATAGAGTCTTTTTACTGTTTTGTAATTGGTTAATGTTTTGAAAATGAATAAAGAGAGTTTGAGTTGGTCTTGGCGAGTACTCCACGACAGAGGCAGTCTAAGAGTCCAGTCCTGGAGAGTCTTGGGCGAGTCTTGGGTCAGCCTTGCGATAGTCTTGGGGATTTCCCCCCAGGGCGCTGTGTCTTATAGAGTGCTCCACAGACCGACTAAGACGAGAGTTGAAACGTATTTCGTTGTGTGTGTCTTATTTGACTGTAAAGCTCAAGTGACTTTCCCGATCCCGTTTCTCAAGGGGATGAGATATAGAGACGAGACGAGATTCCCCCTGACAAGTGTGGAGAACCCCAGAGAGAAGATTTCCCCCCCTGATAATACTGTAAAACATGTCTTTTTAGCTAGCATGTTATTTTAGCTAATTCAGCTAATCTGTAATTTCGCCAATTCAAAATGCAGCTAATTTAACAGTAAGTATATTTTCACAATGAGATAGTCGACACTTTAGCTAAATTAAGATTCTGTTAATTTATGCCAAGAGTCAAGTCTGCTAAAATTGCATGCAGCTATTTCAACGTGTTCTACAGTATATCAGCGATAAGTAGCACAAGGGTACTATACAAGAAGGTTCAGATCGATTCTAATTCTAAATTAGAATTACGCGCTTTAAATTTTTCAATATTTGGCTCGGGTCACAAATGACCAAGTTATACTGGGCAAGCTTGGTACAAAGCGAATTACTGTCATAAGGCCGAATATGTAAAAAGAGTTTCATTTGGGGTACAACCATCTTCGCTTATTCTTCCATCGCCTGCTATACACGACCTCTCCAGCAGAATCACACACGTATTAGTAAGAGAACATGTTTACATAGAGTTAGTGAAACCCCGCGGACATTTGGCTTGTATGGGTAACATATATGAGTGCTCGGCAAAATAAAAAACAATCAGTTCCCATTGATTTTTAAATACAAATTTATCCTCTTTTTGAATAAAATTTAAACTATTAGAAAAATCGTTTTTAGCTAAACACAGAAAAGATAAGCCGTTTCTGACCGTGAGTCTATGTGCATGTGATGTGTATGGTTTAGGTGGAACTTTCAAAACAACAAGGTCCTTCACGGCCAAAACACCACATTATGCTGTCTTGAAGCAGCTTCTTCTGTCAATTTGAACACAACCAATAACAGTAATTATCTTAAACCTACACTGCAGCAGCGTGACAGTCGAATTGGTATGTGTTTTGTCATCGTTGCCATAGCAAATGCAAATATATATGGCATAAGCATTCCCGTAAGCTTCCGTTCTGAAACACATCAGTTTTGTCAGATAAAAACAGCAGCAAGACGCACATCTGAGCAGGGGGCGCTATTTTAAAGAGGCAATTGGCAGCAGACGACACATATTCTCGCCGCAGACGACATGTCAGTACCGGAAAATTCAATTTCTTCTTCAAGGCAGGGACAAGAGGAACAAAGGTAATCTTAATTTTTTTTGTTTTTTTTGTCATTACTGTTTTAATTTGCTAACCATAGCCATACAGTCAACGTCAAAGGTCATCATCCATAAATGACAACATAATCAACAGAAAATTTCTAAATGTTGCCTTCGACCGCGAGACAAGAATATCTTGGGTTTACTCGAAATGGCTGAACATATTCAGCATACATTATTTTATTCTATTCCCTGTTCCTGTCTTCACCACAATTCCACGTATTGCACGTTTATTTCTTTTTATGTCGAATAATTGTGAATGCAAAAGTATGAGAGAAATCATGGCTATTCCGTGCTTTTAGGAGAAAAAAAATAAACTGCATATCATTCCCTCTCTCATAGTGTTATAAAAAATACCAATCTGATTAAAATCTGATGTAGTGTACGGGCTTTAATTATTTTGGCTATAAACTTATTTTAATTTTATGTTTTATTACTTTTGTTATTAATGCCTTTTTATTTTATTATTTTACTTTGATTTTGATTTTGTGATTTTTTTAAAATTCCGCCCTACATACATCGCAATTGATCAGGAAATATTTTATTGCTCCAATTTTCTGCGTCGATGCCGTGGGCCGGTGACCGTTATACAATTTAAAATTTGCATTGTTTACTATAGCTGTTTACAGTGTTCTAATCATTACGATTTACTTATTTTTTTGCTTCCATTCTAGATAATTATGCTCAGTGTTTGATGTAAAATTGAAGCGATGACTGAATAAACGAACCTTGGCTGGCGAAGATGTATCAGGAAGTGTACACATTTGTTGGAAGTGAACAAAATATTCAATGTAATGGACAAAAATTGGAAAATGCTGTGGAATTTCTTTTGTAAATAAAAATATACTAGCAATTTTCTATTAATGGTTTATTCAAGTGGGCAATATATAATGTACAGAAAGATTGCCCGTAGAGTATCGCTACACTGAAAAGTAAGCAACCGACAGCCTCTATAAAAGGGGGCATGTGATTGGCTGTTACTTACGCGAGATTTGAACGGGACTTACGTAGGCGTCGGATCAGATGTATGTAGGGCGGAATTAAAAAAAATGAAAATCAAAGTAAAATAATAATATAAAAAGGCATTAATAACAAAAGTAATAAAAAATAAAATTAAAATAAGTTTATAGCCAAAATAATTAAAGCCCGTACACTACATCAGATTTTAATCAGATTGCTGTCTACTCATAAATTTAACCGACTACAATCGTCTGTGTCGTTTAATTTACAACCAAATTAACCATTTTCTCTATAAACTATCACTATCACCGCCATTTCATTCTGCAAATATAAGTTTATTGACCGCGTTAGTACCGGCTGCTGAAGATATGTCGGTTGTAGTACCCGCTTGCTTGTCCGAGTGGCGTGACTGCTATTGTAACTTGTATGTGCCAGTCGTCGGTGATGGATGTTCTGTCTGACACTACGAAGCCAAGTACATTTATCGATATATTGTACCGGTATTGCATTAATTACTCAGGTTTCGCTAACATAATTCAAAATATATCCAGATATGGGAATATACCCAGACATGGAAAGTATATATCCAGACATGGAATGAATATATCCAGACATGGAATAAATATATCCAGATATGAAATGAATATATCCAGATATGGAATAAATATATACAGACATGGAAAGAATATATCCAGACGTGGAATGAATATATCCAGACATAAATATATCCAGACATGAAATGAATATATCCAGACCCACAGGGGC